AAAAACAATGTAGTATCTTTGAAAAGTTTTGTCATGTTGATTTAGTGAAAAAACAATGTAGTATCTTTGAAAAGTTTTGTCATGTTGATTTAGTAGAAAAAAACAATGTAGTATCTTTGAAAAGTTTTGTCATGTTGAATTAGTAGAAAAAACAATGTAGTATCTTTGAAAAGTTTTGTCATGTTGATTTAGTAGAAAAAAACAATGTAGTATCTTTGAAAAGTTTCGAATATAAGAATACTTTCAAACCTAAGTGTCAATATTCTCTCACGTTGTTGTGCAACAGAAAGTGAAGAACAGAGATTTATTTAATGATATTTTTGTTACAGCGATTTGATTTAAAACTATTACTAAAGTTTCTAACTGTTTTCTTTTCATAAAGTTATAATAATATTTGATGCCTGAGAACCAAGCACTTAAATTACATGGATAATAGCACTCAACGCACTGTCTTAGAAGTATATATATTTTATTTTGAGACTAATACAGAAGTCAGTATAAATTACTACAGTAGAAACAGTTTTTTACTCGAATGTATGTGTAAAACTTTTAAATTCGGCTACACATTGTTAATTTTGAGAAAACGTCAGTATGTAGCTAAATTGTATGTTTCACTAAAATGCTGAAGTCTGAACTTTACCTCTCACCGGATAGGTGGACCAAAGATAAACTCTTTTTTTATATCGAGCGATATAATTCCAGGTCGCTTAATTTCTGTTCACAAACTTGGCAGATCAAAAAATATAATTTTAACTTTCATTATGGAAGATAATTCAGAATTTAAAGTCCAACCAACTGTAGGTTTGGAGGACTATGTGGTCCAATTTTTCAAGACTGGTGGGCTTCCTAACTACAAAGGAAGTGGGTCATCTATATCCTGTCTTCTGAGTATCTCACGATCCGATGACAGAGCTGGGGAGGAAAAGGTGAGGTAGCGAAAGAGCTGCACTACACCTGAATCACTCCTCGACTCTCCTGAAGTTGTGCACGGAGTTAAAGTATCACTTGCACTATCCATCACTGTTCTAGGTGTAAAATCCTCTAAGCTCACGTAGCTAATAACTTTATTAAAGCGTTTCTTTTTCTTTCCTTCCGTAACCAAGGTGCCTCATTCTTTCAGACTGGAAATGTTTTCACTCACTGACCAGTAGAAAATGGCAAGTTTC